CGCTAAAGCGCAAATGAAATATTTAGGTCCGCAATTAGCAGATTTGCGCTTTAGCGGACTGGTGCCCACCACTGTCGAACAGTGAGATTTTGGTTAAAATGTGACGTTCGGTAGTTGATTTCTGAATGAACGGTTCATTCTCAGCAACAGTAATCCTGCTATTGGCATCGTAATACCTTCATCCTCTTGTCCTTCTGAGCAAAATGTTTCCAAAATTAACCTGCCAGTTCCATACTGTTTTTGTTTTTTTGTGTTGGTTTGACTTCACAGATCCATGAAACATTTCAGAACCTGGCTTCTGTTGTAAAGCTGCACAAAACTTTATTTTAAATTAGCAATGCCCAAAGCAACTTTGTCAAATGTCTTGTGCTTGGGACGGTTTCTAAAAAGTCCAGGTCCATGATCGATCCGGCTCCAAGTTGGTAAAATACCTGGATTTGTTTCGCTCTTCTGCCAACAAAATTGGGGCTTTGAGAGGGATGAGTGCTAAATCTGAGCCTGCCACCTGTGTTCCGCCGTCTTCAGGGACTCGTTTATTTGGTTCCTTTTGGCTGAATGAAATAAAACCAGTGTCTCTGTAAAAGTAAGAACCAAGCAGCCAAGAACCRTCCTTCATCCAGACGCAGACAAGTGTAAAAGTTTATTCTAGGGTAAAAGTTCTGTGAAACTTTCAGCAGGATGTGAGAATAATCAAACCTGCGCCTGATTGTTCATCCTGAATTAATGTCAGATTATGAGATCGTTCCTGCAGCTAAACGTACGCTACAGCCACACGTTTTCTGCCCCGATTCCAATCTTTTACTGTATTTCACATCCAGTCCAAGATAAATTTATTCCTGCGAGATTGGCCTGGTGAGACATTAATTTAACGCCGACCGCTGCTTTGTCTCTGTTCGCCAATATCTGCCGTAAGAATCCATAACTCCCAATATTAAAAAAGTAATAAGGCAGAAAGAGACGTGGCGGTGGAGGTGGGATGAGAGACGAGCAGAAGATGAGGTGTCACGTAATGGGTCACACTCATTACCAGCACCAGCTGCTGTGTGACTCTGCAGAGGGAGAAAATCAGTGCTGGCCTTTCAAGGACGGCTGCAGTATTTTCAGCTTTTCTTGTGTAAATGTGGTCATTTTAGAGCCTTAAATCTATAAACGACTTTAACAAGAATCCAAAGATTTCCATAACAAGTAAAATCAACATTCTTCAAAAGAATGTATTTGCACAAAGTTTCAAACAAAGTTGATATACTGTATCTCTTTTTGCGTGCCCATGCAAAACTATTGCGTTACCTCACAAAAGTCGTTTATCACTGTTGTACCTGCCGGTTTATTAACAAACTCACATGTTCACCATTAGCAAGTTAGCCTACTTAAAGCAAGTTAGCAAGTTAAAGTCTGATTTAGTTCAGTTCATATACAAATCAAACTTTTGCGTGGGAACGCAAAACAATATTGCGAGGTAACGCAAAACAATATTGCGAGGTAACGCAAAAGTATTGCGAGGTAACGCAAAAGTATTGCGAGGTAACGCAAAAGTATTGCGAGGGAACGCAAAGGTATTGCGAGGGAACGCAAAAATATTGCGAGGGAACGCAAAGGTATTGCGAGGTAACGCAAAAGAAAAAAATCCCCCCATGTCCTCTCACGCGCTCCGTAAAAATCTGTAAAACTTACTGAAATAGAAACATTTTTGCATTTGATAAAGACGATAATCTCACTTCAGATTAACTCCAGAATTAATGTGTTTATGACATGCATGTCCTTCAAATACAAAAGTAAAAAAAAAAACAAATTTATATTTAAGAAACTTGACATAAGAATTGATTTTATCCATTTTGTTCCATATTTTGCACGTTTTCTTTTGAATGTGGCTCAAAGTGAAAGAGAAGTTGGCATCAAAGGGAAGCTCTTAAAAAATGGTCTTTGTTTATTAAAACAACTTTATTTGAACTAGGGCTGCCACAAACTATTATTTTAATAATCGATTAATCACCGATTATTTATTTGATTAGTCGACTAATCGGATCATACGTTAATTGAATATAAATCATACAGCTTATCACGTCAGAATGCAGCTGCTATTATATAACCATGGTTAGATTTTAGCTATATGCTAACTAAAAATGATTGCTGTGGAAGGTAAGTTCTGCTCTGCAGAT